GAATGGATCTTAGAGAGATAGGATGGGATGGAATGAATTGGATAGATCTGGCTCAGAATAGGGACCAGTGGAGGGCTCTTGTGAACACGGTAATGAACCTTCGAGTTCCATAAAATGCTGGGAAATTCTTAAGTAGCTGCAGAATTGGCGGCTCCTCCAGAAGGGCTCAGCTCCATGAGTAAGTAAGTAAGTAGTCAACATACTTATATACACGTGAAATATCTTGGATTCATTGTATATATTTAATTTTTTTTTATTTCTATTTTATGTTTTATACTTGTGTACTTAAATGTAATACTTACCAACTTGAGGCTGGTTTTCTGTTAGTATATAATATGATACGATGCACTGGTATGGATCAATGTCGGTAGTTCAAGAACTAAACGTATCCCTATATTAATTTTTAATTCGCTTAGTGGGGGGTGGAATCCAACTGGGTCCACTCGGCACGGCGGCCACTGATTGGCCTATTGTAGCATGGCCCAAGTGATTATGAAGATGGATAAATTGGTGGAATGAAGATTGGCAGGGGAAACCGAAGTACTCAGAGAAAACCCGCGCCAGCGCCACTTTGTCCACCACAAATCCCACTTGACCAGACCCGGGATCGAACCCGGGCCGCCGCAGTGGGAAGCCAGCTATCCCTATATTAACTGCCTGATGATGGTCTTGTACGACCGAAACATGTAGCAGCAAAAAAAAGTCTAATTGTGAAACATTAAAAGCGAGTATATTTGTTGTGTGACGGTTTAACCTAACTACAGTATATAGATAGCAGTTGATCTGTTATGTCGAAACCCACACTGAAGTTCCCCAATCATTTCATCTATATATGGAATTAACCTTGAGAGCAGAATATTGGATACTGCTGTGTATGAAGGTGATAGCAGTGATATCACCCAATAATTACTACAGTCAGTTTTATCATCCTATTTGTGAACTGGTACAATAACAGACACTTTCAGCTGTTCAGGCAATTATTCTTTATTATAAACACGCAGTAGCGTAGTTGGTTGAGGCACTATGCTACAAGCCGGAAGATCGCGGGATCGAATCCCGATGAGGTGGATTTTTCAATTGACCTAATCCATCCAGCCGCACTATGGCCCCGGGGTCGACTCAGCCTCTAACAGAAATGAGTACCAGGAATATTCCAGGAATATTCTTGAGGGCAAAGGGCGGGCGGCGTGTAAGGCTGACAATCTTACCGCCATCTATGAGCCGATTACCTAGATAATGTGGGACCCTCAACATCTCACAAACCTATGGGTTTCCAATGCCTGTTACAGTGATACCTTTAATTTTACTTTTACTTTCAAACAGAATTAATGAGTTTATATATCTCAGACCGTAACATTCGACCCCCAGCTACGAACAATTCTACAGAAATTTGAACACTCCCTGTCGATTTATATTTCTTCAACTTTGAAACACAAATTACAACCTCCATGCAAGTAGAACCAGGTACTAACGGCTCAGATGAGTGTAATTCTACCTGCCTAAAATCACCGACCCTCTTTATATTCAATAACTGAGATAAATGGTCCTTCCACCTGTTCAAAATGCTGTGGGAGAAATGCATGCAAAGCCTTGATATGAAAATCTGATGGGAAGAGATCCATAGGTAGGCTTAGACATAGGTAGGAGAATAATATTAAAATGTATGTCAAAGAAAATGAATAAAAATTTGTGGCCTGGATTTGTTTAGGTGCGAGTGGCGAGTTGTTTCGTGTGCGGTACTGAAATTTAGAGTTTTATAAACGCTGGAAATTTCTTGGTTACATGACCAAATATTAACATCTCAGAGAAATGTAAACAGCATGAATCTAAAATAATTACATACATACCTGGACACCTGGTAGTGGGTAGACAAACCAGATATCACCCTTCCCACAGCCCACCACCCGAATTTTAGTGAAAAATCAGAATTTGTGGTAAGAATGAAATACACTAATTATGAATAATAAAAAACTCTGTGGCCTGTAGTCCGCAAGCGAACTATACCGACCGAGTAACCGCCGCTTGTCGGAGAAGTTAGCGCCAAATGTAGGGGATAGAGGGTGTCGCGTGGCAGGACAACAGATCCTCAAGGCCGTTAATCTCGATTTTCTATACCGGAGCCGCTATTTCCTTGAAATAGCTCCTCAGTTATCCTCAGGAGGCTGAGTGGACCTCTTTCCAGACCCAATACTACACAGAAAATCTGGTAGCGCCGGGAATCGAACCCTGGACCTCTTGATATGTAGGCAGAAATTCGGACCACTAGACCACAGAGGCGGTCAAATATGAATAATACAAGTATAAACTGCATAAGGAGATATTCTTCTGCCCTGAACATTCTCGAGCGATCGGTAAAAATGGCCTTCCGCGGCTTAAAAGTAAGTCTGCAATCAAATTTTCTAGCTGCCCCCTTAAAAATACAACTTGATGGGGCCCACGCATACACAGCATCTCGTAAATTAGTCTAAACATCAAAAATTTCCTTTATAAACAAAAAGTAAAAATATTACCGAACTCAAATCTATATTTTTTACTGGGATCGCTTACTTCCCAACTGGTTTACCTTTCCTAGGAGTCCCGTACAGATGACAACATGAATTCTGTTACAGTTTCCTAATAGTAAATATCCAGCAGCAACTGAGCTCCCATTGACCCTCCCGTGGGATAGGATGGGAACTGGGTCCACTCATCCATTTCCCTCGTGCTTCCTATATAAGGTATAAGGTAAAGGTATCCCTGTAATAGGCCAGGGAGTCCCACAGGGTTGTGGGACGTCAAGGCTCCCACATTTTCTAGACAGGCTTCAGTTGGCTGTGAAGTTGTCAGCCTTCCGCGCCGGCCGTCCTTTACCCCACAAGATGATTCCTGTTACTCATTTCTGTTAGAGGATGAGCCGACACAAGGGCCATAGTGCAGCTGCAAGGATTAGGAATTGAAAAATCTTATGACCTCATCTGGAATCGAAGACGTGACCTTCCAGCTTGTAGCATAGTACCTCAATCAACCACTGTACTGTGTGAAAGATGAAGGATGTTGTAAAACGTCACTTTTGATTCCATCTCACCTGTTGATTTATTTGAATGCTCGGAAAGGATCTAATGAGCGTCTACTAGTAGCAAATAGCGCTAATAGATCATATAAGAGTAATTACTATACACCAATGGCTCTACAGCCCTTTGTTGGAATTTGACCGCTCTTTTTATTTCTTAATCCTGCACACAGTCGGTAGGGCCCCTCGGACGGGGGATCAGCCCGTCGCAACACCGCTCCCTACTGGCAGCAAAACGACACAGAATAAACGCACACAGCTTACATGCCTCGAGTGGGTTTCAAACCCACGACCCGAGCGTTGGGGACAGCGAAGACAGTACATGCCTTAGACAGCGCCGCCACTGTGACCGGGAAAATCAGCGGATAGTAGGAGCAAATAGTGCTGTTACATCGTATAAGGAATTATCAGTGTTCAGTCTGATTTGAAAATAGGAGAGATACCAAATATTTTAGTCTTCTGTTGTAAATACTCATGAGACAAACGAATAAAAAACAGTTTCATAAACAATCTGACCACAACTATTAGGCAAATATCCTACTCCCTCCCCCCCGTGTCAATATCCTGGAGTCGCCCATGTTACTGTATTCCGATGCCGTGAAAGCCAACACTCAGTTCAGAGTCCAGTTGCTGTAGCTAACAGACCGAGATGTCACGATATGTCACACAGAACCTCGCCCTGGACGGGGTGTGTGGAACACGATGATGAACCTTCGGGTTCCATGAAGGAGGGGCAGAGTTTGTCACAATCTTTGTGACTATGAACTTCTCAATAAGGGCCCCTTATTCATGAAATTATGAAACTGAAAGCAAGAGGAGTATGAGAGGGTATTGTGTAATGCCCATCTGCGTGACGTCTGTATCCTGTACGCAGTCCTCCAGATAAAGCCAACTCAGTATATAAGCAGCTCGACTTGCTCCCATAGTTTTTATCTTGTTTCGAACATCGCTTGAGACTTTAAACCTGCTGAACTCTTCTGAACGCTGGTTGTGATTTTATCATCTGCGCCTGCATCTGAAGACAAACCGTTCATATTGTGTCACACAGACACAGGGCCTTCACATTTCCATTGAACAAGGTATGTATACAATTTATTTATGGTTTATTTAGCGACACTAACAATTCCTGATGCTTTCTAAGGTGCTT